TTACTATACCTTATGGCAGAAAAGTATTCAACCCTGCTGATCTTTCTCCATATGTCAGTCCTGGAATTATTTTTCGCTTATTGATTCAATGATTATTGACAGATTGCCTGGAAACTTGCTAGATACTAGGGATACTGTATCATGAAAACTGATATTTACTCAGTGCATCATTGTTCTTATGCTGCAGATAGGAAAACTGAGGAACAGAGAGGTGCTATGGCAGCGACCTTGAGATCTGTCTCCTGTTCTTGGGAGCTTATATTGTGGTAGCAAAGATGGACATCAAGCAAATGATTACATAGTTATTTAATTATTACTGTGATGAAGGTTACGAAGGAGATGGGCGTTTGCCACGGTCTTGAGAAAAGGTGTGAAAAAGGACTGGGAAATGACAGAAGAACTGAAGGCGAGTCTTCTGAGGAGTTTTCTTCTGAAGAACCCAGAGACGAGGCCGGGAACGGAGGGAGGCGCGAGAGACGGTGAGGACTTGGAGTTGCAGGACCACGCACAGGTGCCTGAGGTGCCTAGTCCTGACCTTGACCAAAGACGATGAAGCAAAGAAGTTTTCCTGGGAACACTTGAGTGTATGAGTTTGATGTTAAGATTGCCCAAGGTGTTACAGAGAAGGAATAATTGCAGTGGTGGCTACCTTGAGAAGGTGGGAGGGAGGTGTTGGCTCTATATGGGAGCAGGGATACTTTATCCATTTTGGTGGAGGGAAGGTGGAAGAGACAGATGCAGACAAATGGGGAGATTTGGTGGAGGAAAGATGGAAGTGTTTCTATCTGATTGCTTTTTCCATTTTCTCAGTAAAATGTCAGGCAAGATACTCATCTGGGAGTGAAGCAAGAGGAAGGGATGTGGGCAGTGTGAGGACGGAAAAGAAAGCTCCCGATGGTTGCACTGAGGCGTGGTGGGGCCCGCCTCAGCAGTGGAGCAGGCTCTCCAGGCAGGGCCCCCCTGAGAACTGTGGTCATCATGAACTAAGTGTGAGACCAGCTGGCATTGTTTGTGAGACCAGTTATGTATGCATTTTTCTCCCACAGGAATCTGCTGCTCAGGTGGAGGTATGGAGTGGGTGGAGGGTTGGGTTTAATCCGAGTTGAGGTTGAATCAGGTGAGCATATGAGAGAAAGAGAGGGGCAGGGGGGTGGGAGATTGCTGGACAGTGAGTGGAACGATGGGGGAAAAGGAGGGTTAGGACTGAAGGGGGCCAATGGAGAAGGAAACAGTGGCTTCTGGATTGAAGGTCTCTGTGAAGATGCAGGCTTACTGGGTTGGAATGCGCTGTCGGAGTAGGGTAGTGGAAAGTTTTATGAGTTAGTGCTTTTATTAGTGGTGACAAGGTCAGGAGAATGACAACGGTGAGGATAGCTGTGGGGCACTGGAAGGAAAGTGAAGTGGAGGTGAGGAAGTGAAAGAACAGAGGAGCCAAGTGTCGCCTGAGTCATTGCCAAGAAGGGTTTCAGAGCCAGGGTAAAGAGAAGAATAGGAAGTCAGGCACCAGGAGCGCCCGTGATTCAGGGGATCACCTGAGGGTTGTCAGGGGACAGGACCAGAACTGAATTGGAGTGGTGTAGTTAGAAGCATGAACTTCAGAGTAGCTGGGGATTTTGGAGAGAGAAGGTTGGACTGTGTCTTGGAAGTTGTAATGGGAAGCAAGGAAGCCATCTGTGAGAGAATAAAAGAGACGCCACTTTGTGGGCTGAAGGGAGGTGGTGTCTTCAGAGCAGGGTCAAGCTCCAGAGTTAGGGCAAGAGGCTCCAGGAAGGCTCAGAGAAGACAGGCAGGGCTCCAGAAACTTTTGGTGATGGCTATCCATGAGCTCTGAGGGGCCCAGTGGAAGGACTTGAGGGCAGAGAGGGATAGAAGATCGGGCTGGTGCACACACAGCAAACAAGGGAAAGTGGCCTCGGAAGGGGAAAGAGCTGATCTGAGATCTGAGACATCTGACAGTCTGAAAAATAGAGACAAACATTTTTTGGGGGATGGGGAGGATTGCTAATGACTCTTCCAGGAATAACTTATATATTCAAAAAGTAATCATTTGATCACAAACGCTGTTGGAAAACATTATGTCTTGAACTCACCTTAGCTCTCTTAAATTGTTGAGCTGTGCCCTTTTTGTGGACTTCACCAAATTGTCATTTGGTTCCTTGACCTCTGCCCCTCCCAATCTGACACCATCAAGATAAGCATAAGGAATGAGCAGAGAGCATAGGATTTGTGGCTGTGTGTTGAAGTTACTTCATGCAGGGCATAACTCTCTCTCAACACCCACTAGACACGTCAGCCTGGATCTTTGGGTCGTGTTGCTGACCGGAAGTAGTTGGAGTTCTGGAGGAAGAGCTGGTGGAAATTCGTCTGATCAGAGCAGTCAGGGCCACGCCCCGCCTCCCCTTACCCAGCCATTTGCCTCCTCCCATGCAAGTTCATTTTTCCAGAATATCTTTCCCTAACACAAAAGAGAGGAAGCAGTGGAGGAATTTCAATTCAAGATCCCAAGCATATTTTTATGATTTTACGATTATTCCTCCTTACCTCAAATCAGCCCATTTGTCTTGGGGGCAGGGAGTGCTGCCCTGCAGTGAAAGGGTCCATGTTGGAAGTGTGAGGGGAAGAGACCTGACATAAACCAAACTGAGGTTTGCTGGGGCGGCAGCAGGTGTGCTATGGCAGTCAGCTTTGTGAGGGCCTCAGAGCTATTGCCAACTTAGTAACAAGGAAAATGCACATGAAGGAAAACAGGTAAAGTAATGGAAACCCTAAGTGCAATAAAAACACAAGGATCCAACAAACTGGGTCCAGAAGTAGCACCCAAGCCCATCGTACACCCCCAGTGCCTTCCACCAGCAGCTGTTTGTTGAGTGTCCATGGGAAAGAGAGTGAGTAGAAAGATGAGTGTAGTATGCATGTTCCTTGAATGAATGTCTTGAAGGGACACATTTGCAGAGTCCTTCAAGTTTTAAAATGCCATCGGCTAGAGTGACCCTAGTGAGTGGTTACCCCTAGCATTTAAGGGTGCATGCGGGTGTTCGTGCACACACACCCCTGCCTCTGTGCACACTTGTCAAAGCAGTAGAGGCAAAGCCTGCCAAATGTGTGACTCATTTAGCCTGAGCTCTTGGTCTAATCCTAGGTTGGTTTTTGGATGAAATATAAACTTATTTGCTGGAATAAGATCAAACATTTCTAGGTTTGGTATTCTGTAACTTTAACAGCAAATTCTGAGTTTAGCGTGTGTGGAAGGAGGAGGGAGAATCTGAGAGGAGGGAAACTGGTTTTAATAATCTTCCTTTTCTTTAGCAGCTTGCAGCTTACAAAGATCTTTCATCCGGGTTTGTCATTTGACCCTCCGAAGATCCCTGTTGGGTAGGTAATTTCACATCGTCTTCATACACGAAGAAACTGAGATGCCAAGAGTGAAAATCCCTGCAGATCCAGGGAAAGGCTGAGGTCTTTAGGCTCACTGACTTTCTCCTTCTTTCCCCTTAATAATGGAAGGGTCAGGTACAACGAGTTTTTTTTAAGACATAACCAAACCTTGTACCTGGAGAAACGCCACAGAAGGGTGTGCCTGAGTCAGTGACCTTTACCTAAGCCATTTTACACAAATGCCATTGCCCCTTGCTGGAAACTCTTCATTTGATTCTAGAAAGCGTGTAAACAACAGGCCATGGACCTGAGCCAGAAGCTCAGCGGGCCCTATAAGAGACTTCATTTTCCAGAGCATTCTAAGAAGGAGTCAATTGCTAAATGCATGAAGGAACCAACTTAAATCAGCTGAAACAGACTCTAAATAAATCTTAAGTCTTCAAATCAAGTGGCTTCCAATTGTGCCCGGACCACCGCCCTTCAGAATTAGGACCCATGTGCCTCTCCACAGAGTGCATCCTCTGGAATTGTCCCCAGTTCTCGGGGTGAAGAGGTAGCATGCCAGCACCTGGCCACAGCATGTCCGTGACTAAGGGCACGTCTCTGAGTGCTCTCAGCTGTCCACTTGGCTTCCCAAGACACTTCAACCCTTTGGCTGCACAGACCTTGCCATGGGCCATCCTGGGAACTGACCGATCACGGATAAAGGCGAGTCTTGCTATGGATTGGAAGTAATTTAAATTAAAAGCTGCCCTGTGGGGGAAAACCCTATGATTCCTTCCAGACAGAAAATCATCTTTTAAATCTGTGACTTCGTTCTCAGTGACTGGCTTTATTCTTTTCTTGATTCCCTTCATTTGATCTGCGATCTAGGGAGTAGCACACCATCATATGTGCATTCTAATGATAGAAAGCGTGGAAGGGGTAGAGAGGAGACAGGGAAGGACTACGCAGATGGCCCCAGACAAATGGGTGGGTTTTGGGGAAGCTGGAGTGGAGATCAGGACCTGAGGCTGAGGCACACCATGGAGTCTCATTGATGGAGGAAGCCCCGCAGAGGCAAGGGTGGTACTCAGATGCCCAGGGCTCACATCAATACCAGGGAGCGAGCAGCAAGACTGCTAGGAATCACCTGGTGGTCACTGAAAAGCTGCTGACACCCAGTTCCCGTGGCTGGGTGGGAGTTGGCCTGCTGATGGTTGGCCTGGCATTCTAGTGGCTGAACGGGGCTAGGTAGAGGAAAGGGCTGAGAAATGTAGAAGATGAAATAAGCATTTCACTTCTCCGGAAGTACATGGCAGTGTTATAACAGCAGGCCCTGCCTGGCCCTGCTTTCTCAGAGTGCAGGGTAAAGTTGTCTTCCAGGGATGGGGCTGACACCGCTGCCTGGAAGAATGACTGCAGGAGTAGGGAAGGAGGCAGTGGGTGGTACAGATAGGGCAGGGAACCTAGGTTAGATAGGGGCAGACAGTAGCTTTTCCTCTCCAGCAATAGTTATGCTCATTGACTATGATCAACTCTGGGACAGGAAATATGTAATATGGAGCTGCTGAAATGCTGAAACGCTGAGATCGTGGTGCAGGCAGACAGCAATGAAATCTGGGGTATAGGGAGGAACCGGTAGCTGAATTTCCATGTAACTGGTTCAATATGGGAGAGGGTTCAGAAGGCCAACGTCCAGATTTTTAAGAAATTCAGGTCACCTAGACGCTTCTTCTGTTAAAGTAGCTGGGAGCCCAGCAGTCCCGATTCTCTGCTCTGAACCGCCGCTCCACTCAGGCTGGTGACCACATGACGCCACAAGCCATCTGCCTTCAGACCTGCCTCCGGCTCCACCTGCCGCAGCCTGCCTTTTTCTCATTCCACCTCCATCTCCAGGGTGGCCCATCTACAAGGCTCAGCTCAAGCCCCCATCTCCTTTTACAAGCTTTCTGCCTCAGTTTCACATTTTTACCCATCATTATGTGGGTAAAAATTACTATGAACTTTATTGGGAGAGGAAAAATGAGGCAAAGTGTCTGAAAATACCCATTAAACACCAAAGGGCTATACAATATGAGAAAGTTACATTTTATTAATAGTCATTATACTCACAAGAATATATTCTATTTTATGTAATAATATGAATAATCGACATTGTATATTATTTTGTAACAATGTTTCACTTGCATTAGCCTTATCTTCTCAGCCAGCTGGTGCACTCCTTGAGGGAAGGGATTCTGTCTTCTGTTAGCAAACATTGTTGCTTCTGCCAACACATTGCTGAGTGAAGGTAAGTGCCATATCGGTTGATTGACTGATTTCTTCTTGATCAGAAGAACCCACTTTGCAGATAAGAGAGAGAACAGGAGTCCAGGAGATTCCTAACAATGCTATTCAGGAGGTTGGCTCGTTCTAACAATGTGATTATCCTATCGTTGCCCTACATTAGAAATCCCAGCCTGCAATCCAGCTTGGAAGCTTGGCTCCAGAAGCCAGTGTCTCAAGAGCAAGGTGGAACATTAAGATCTTTTATGATCCAACCTCAGAAGCCACATAGCATCACTCTGCATAGTCTATTGGTTGAGGCAGTCACAAAGTTCCACCCTGGTCCGATGCAAGGGAACATAAACAACCTCCCCACCCCCATTTCTTGTTGAAGGTGGGAAGTGGCAAGGCTCAGAAAAGGGTTTGGCAAACTGTTTCTTAAAGAGAAGGATAGTGAATATTTTAGACTGGCATGTCATACAGTCTCTTGCGACTATTCAACTCTGCTGTTACAGCGTGAAAGCAGCCATAGACAAAATGGGCATAGCCATGTTCCATGGCCAGCCTGGACAAATAAAAAAACTTTAATTCTAAAAACAGGCAGCTCGTTCACAGGCCAGAGCTTGCCAGCCCCTGTTATAGAAGACTATGTCCAATGAAAGAAGTTGTATTTTTAAAAATACAATCTACCCTTTGCTCAGAGAGAGATAATTCTTTTATAACATATGAATGTCACCGGTATTAAAAAATTCCTCTAAGTCAGAGATGAGGCTGCCTCATAGAACCTTGGGATGCTTAAATGACTACTCACCATTTTACCATGTCAAGGAGACATCACAAATCCAGCTGAAAGCTGTTTAAGCCAATAAAACCCTTCTCCCATTCCGTTTCCCACTCCCTTCCCGTCAGCATATTATCCTAGAACATTATCAGGTGACAATGAAGGAGTCTATGCCACCTTTGCTCCCAGTGTGGCAGTCTTTTGTCTTTGGGCGCCCTGGGAGTCTGCTTTTCCTCTCTGTGGCTCCTGGCATCCTATGACCTTCACCCGCCAGCCAAGAACCCTCGTTCTGGAATTTGCTCAATATCTCAGCACCAGCAGGATTGCTTAGGTCCTTCCATGAATGTAGAATCAGACAAATACCAAAACTGAAGAAGGGTAAAAGTTATATATATATTTCATTTATTTATTTTTTTAGATGGAGTCTCACTCTTGTTGCCCAGGCTGGAGTGCAGTGGTATGATCTCGGCTCACTGCAACCTCTGCCTCCCAGGCTTAAGCGATTCTCTTGCCTCAGCCTCTCCGGTAGCTGGGATTATAGGCACATACCACCAGGCCCGGTTGATTTTTGTGCTTTTAGTAGAGACAGCGTTTCTCCTTGTTGGCAAGGCTGGTCTTGAACTCCTGACCTAAAGTGATCTGCCTGCCTCAGCCTCCCAAAGTGCTGGAATTACAGGCATGAGTCATCATGCTCAGCTGTAAAAGTTAAATATTTAAAGTCTAAAAAGCAATGCTGGCTGTCACCAGCTTGTCAGGGAATGTAAGGTGTTAGTTGGAGATCATCTTGTCTAACTTAGACAGAAAAGTGGCAAAAGAGTGGCCAATGCAGAATCTTCCAGGATCCTTTGCTAAGCCCCTGGCTGGATTGCTATAGCTCCCTGATTACCATCAAATGTGTAGATCTCCGTTACACAGTGGCTTGCCAGTGCTGAATGCTCAGCTCTGATCCATCACCTCGGTTCCCTCCATCTGTTTAAAATGCTGCTAGCTCTGTTTTCCATATTCTTATTCTCCCATCTTTCCTCTCTCTTTTATTCCAGTGTGTGTGTGCACGCACACACGCACACCTACATACACACTTACTCCTTTAACACATCTCTTACACAGAATGAATAGAGCCAGAGGCCTTATGACTACAGCTAAACCCACATGAACTGGCAGGAACTGATTTTTTTAAGTTTTTTTAAAGCCCTGAGGTTGAGATTGTTCTATTGCTTAACTCAGACCACAAATAGTCTTCTTGTGAATACACAGGTTGGAGGTCTCATGCCAGGGTAAGTCCTGACTCCCCTGAGCCCTCCTGGCCACTGGACCACACTTCAGTGATGGAGTGTGGGCAGCGGTCCTGGAAAACCCTCTGACCACTGTGTGTTTGAGATGGCCCACAGGAGAAGGCATGCTGGAACTACAATTCCCTTGTGAACTTGGGAGTTTATCTTCTTCCCTGTGGTTTGTCTTTTCTCCTCCCACAGAAGTTTTCTGTGACAAACTGATTTCCTTATTGAATTAAATACATTTTTGTCCATCTGATTATGCTGGAAAATTGTATACAGAATGGAAAATATCCTGCAGTTCCTCCCTACATAAGTCTGTGTGTGAATGGATCCAGCAAGAATGAAAACATTGAGCTTTTTTTTCCTGTGGGCTCTTGGTACGGTTTTATAGGTACTCGGGTCTGGATCTAGAACACAAATCAATTGCAAACCAGTGGACCATGCTTTCCTTGTAGCAGCCATGCCCCATATCCTGTCTGTGACCTATTCCCCCATTAGATTTCACTTCTAGATGGCAATGACTTATTGAAGCATTTGATGTAGGCCTGAGAAGCAGGCACTGATGTTGGACTGAAGGAAAAGCACCTTCGTTTGGGGGCATGATGGATGGGATCTGGCATGATGTAGGTCAGAACCATAGCTCCTTTTCCCAGGGTCGCCAGATGCCAACCCTTGGACTTGAACTCCCAGCCTCCAGAATCATGAGCCAATAAATTTCTGCTCGTTATACATCACCCAATGTGTGGTATTCTGTTGTAACAGCACAATATCTCTCTGTGCCCTTGAGAGATACTGTTACCTGGTGCAGCGGGAATCCCACACACAGTGGGAGAGCCAGTCACAATGACTTTCTGCCCTAGTGGCTGGATGAGGGCCCCCAAAGGCTCCATGCTGTGCCATCAACTCTTTAATTACCAAATTAAGGGAGGAGTGGTCCAGGGTGTCTTAGGAGAGAACTGAGGTTTCCTGGATGGTGGTGGGGATCTTAGCAACTGGGGTTAGTGATGGCCTACCAACCAATATAGAAGCATTTCAATATTTTAACAGCTAGTTTAGCTGTATTGTTGAGTTTCACCTGAATAATAGTTCTGCTTGGACATGCCTTGTGTATCAGGCCAGGGTCGATGGTTATGAATTTTCCTGCTTACCACGTAGTAATCCCCAGATCATTCTGAAAGCTCCAACAAATCACTTAAGCTCAATTACTAAGATGCACCCAAAGCCAAACCCAGAAGTGCAAAGCACGAAGATGGTAGAAATTGATCTGGAGAGCAATGGCAAGAACTGCCCACTTCCCTGAGCAAAGTGGTGGCATCTAGTAGTAGGGAGGGCGGCTGTGTTGAGTGTCCACAGTATGACAAATGTCTTCAGAACCTGCAGTCAGTGAAACAAGTCTGAATCCTTGTAAGTTCCTCAGTATCTATAAACCTCTGAAAAATTGACATAATTATAATACCTCATAGAAAGTCACAAGTAGAAATGAAAATTTTAGCCAAAAGGAAAGCTGAGTCCGAGTTCTTCCACCGAGTTGTCAAAATGGACCACAGGACTCATCAGGGCTCTGATTTGATTCTAGGTGATCAAATGATTTGGCTGTGTTCCCACCCAAATCTCGACTTGAATTGTATCTCCCAGAATTCCCACATGTTGGGGAGGGACCCAGGAGGAGGTAATTGAATCATGGGGACCAGCCTTTCCCATGCTATTCTCATGATAGTGAATAAGTCCCAAGAGATCTAATGGATTTATCAGGGGTTTCCACTTTTGTGACTTCCTCGTTTTCTCTTTGTGCTGCCATGTGAGAAGTGCCTTTGGGGCCAGGTATGGTGGCTCATGCCTGTAATCCCAGCACTTCGGGAGGCCGAGGTGTGTGGATCACCTAAGGTTAGGCGTTTGAGACCAGCCTGGCCAACATGGTGAAACCCTGTCTCTACTAAAAGTGTAAAAATTAGCCAGGTGTGGTGGCACACGCCTGTAATCCCAGCTACTCAGGAGGCTGAGGCAGGAGACTTACTGGGAGGCAGAGGTTGCAGTGAGTGAGCCAAGATGGAGCCATTGCACTCCAGCCTGGCTGACAAGGGTGAGACTCTGTCTCAAAAAAAAAAAAAAAAAAGAAGTACCTTTGGACTCCCGCCATGATTCTGAGGCCTCCCCAACCATGTGGAACCATAAGTCCAATTAAACCTCTTTTTCTTCCCAGTCTTGGATATGTCCTTAGCAGCAGCATGAAAACAAACTAATACACTAGTAATGTAATCTAAGTCCAGGAACAGGGAGTTCAGGGGGGAGATATCAGTCCGCAAATACTGGAAAATGGTGTTATCTTTAAGATAATGAAGCAGCATTCTGGAGTTTATCAATGTCCTTTGAGTTTGATTAGTGCTATGGTTTGAATGTGTCTCCCAAAGTCCATGCGTGGAAGACTTGGTCCCCAATGTGGTACTGTTGGGAGGTGGGGCCTAATGGAAGGTGTTTGGGATATGGGGACACCACCCTCAAGCATGGACTAATGCTATTATCTCAGGAGGAGTTTCCCTATAAAAGGACAAGTTTGGCCCCTCTTGTTCTCTCTGTCGCTCCCCCACTCTTTTTGCTTTTCTACTTGGGATGATACAGCCAGAAAGCCAAGTCTTGGACTTGGACTTCCCAGTCTCCAGAATCATGAGCCAATAAATTTCTGCTCAATATTAATTACCCATTGTGTGGTATTCTGTTGTGACAGCATAACACACACTAAGACAGTAAGAGCCAATTTCCCAGCCCATGATTATCTCCAAGTGTTTCAACAAAATTAGATTTCTGAATATGCAAAGTTTGGAACCAACACCACAGGTGACCTCGTGAAGGCATGGCCCATTCTCTAAAACCAACTTACGAAGCCAACTCATATTGGAAGGTACGTCTCTACCTCTCTAATAACTTCTCTTCCCTCATTCTCCTCTCTCTTGTTCCACTTTTCTTCTTTCTTCTTCATTTTCACAATGGACCGTGTCTCTTTCAAATTCTTATGTTGAAATTCTAACCCTCAGTGTGATGATATTTGGAGGCAGGGCCTTTGGGAGGTACTTAGGTCATGAGAATCAAGCTCTCATGAATAGGCTTTTATAAAAGAGACCCCAGAGAGTTTTCTTGTCCTCTGTCTGCCTTATGAGGTGATATGGCTTGGCTCTGTGTCCCCACCCAAATCTCATCTTGTAGCTCCCATAATTCCCACATGTTGTGAGAGGGACCCAATGGGAGATGATTGAATCATGGGGGCAGGTCTTTCCTGTGCTGTTCTTGGATTAGGGAATGGGTCTCATGAGATCTGATGGTTTTGAAAATGGGGGTTTCTGTGCACAAGCTCTCTTTGCCTGCTGCCATCCATGTAAGATGTGACTTGCTCCTCCTTGTCTTCTACCATGATTGTGAGGCCTCCCCAGCCATGTGTAACTGTAAGTCCAATAAACCTCTTCCTTTTTTAAATTGCCCAGTCTTGGGTTTGTCTTTATTGGCAGTGTGAAAATGGACTAATTAGAAGTGAGCAGTCTCCAACCTGGAGGAGGACTTTCATCAGAACCTCACGATGCTGGCACCCTGATACTGGATTTCTCCCCTCCAGAACTGTGAGAAATAAGTTTCTGTTGTTTATATATCACTCAGTCTATGGTACTTTGTTAGAGCAGCTCAAACTGGCTAAGACAATCCTCTTTATTGCTTCATCCTTTTTCTCCTTTTGCTTTGTTTTATTTATCACTGGGAGCCTTTATTAATATATTTTCTTCCTGTGCCTCATCTTTCTGTTCACTCTGTTTTTCCTTCTTTTTTTTTTTTTTTTTTCTGAGGCAGAATCACATTCTGTCACCCAGGCTGGAGTGCAGTGGCATGATCTTGGCTCACCACAGCCTTGACCTCCAGGGCTCAAGTGATCTCCCAACCTCAGCCTCTTGAGTAGCTGGGACTACAGGTGCACACCATCCTGCCCAGCTAATTTTTGTTATGTTTTGTAGAGATGAGGTTTCACCATGTTGCTCAGGCTGGTCTTGAACTCCTGAGCTCATCCACTTCAGCCTCCCACAGTGCTGAGATTATTTCTTCAAGTGTGTTATTACTTTAGATGAGCTCAAATGTAATATCTCAAGTGGTAGCAATCATATATAAGGTACACAGAAGCAATTTGGTAAGGAGAATTCACCCCAACTCCACCAGCTGAAGCACTCTGATTCCTCTGGAAACAACGTAGAAACGCCAAGGCATCAGAGAGTAAGAGACTCAACAGGTGTCCAGCACAGGCCCAAGGAAAGACCTGGGTCTCCAGCACCACACTGCACTGTCACTCATTAGATCTCCCTCTCAGAGAGCCCTCAGTGGTTTTCGTTTCCTTCTTCTTCTGATTCCAAATTTGCCAATCTTACAACAAACGTAATTGTTGAAGGACATCAGTATTGGGAAAGTAAAAGCCCTGGTCGTGGGATAGGAGTCATCCAGTCCTTGGCGTAGGGAGATTCTCTCTGCCGAAAACGTCCAGGTTTAGTTTACATCACTGTCTTCCTGCATCTGTTCATCTTGGAGCACCGACCTATTTGAGTTCTTGAAAGTCAGCAAGTCTAAAGACCACTCACTGACCAGTGGCAGGTTCACCAAGACTAGGTCATCCTGGAGGCCTCATGGTAGGCAGCAGGCAGGCCTGCAGGCAGTCTGGACACTTCCCATTGTGTTCAGCGTCCCATGAGGATGTGTGTAATTGCAACAATCTGGAAGCCGTAAAAATCCTCAGGACTGAGCAAACTATGATAGGGATGGCCTGAGTTCACAGGTGCTCCCCAAGAAGAGCAGATGGAGAGGTGTCTTATAAATAAGAAATTTGACTGTTATGACAACTGCGTAGCAGCATGAAAGCGTCTGACATGGTGTTAACAGACAAAATGATAATGACATGTAATTAAATAGCACTAAATCGTATGTAGGCATCAGGATCAAGACTGGAAGAATGGAGGTGTGAAAACATAGACAGTTGATTATTACATTCTGAGTGTAAATGTTTTAAAAACTTTAAGTTTTGTAATAGCCAGTTTTCACTATTATAATACTGCATGACAACCCCCAGACTCTCAATAGCTTATAACAACCAATGTTTACTTCTTGCCAACTGATTTGCAGGTTGATCATAGGCCAGGTGTGGGTCAGCATGCTTAGGCTGTACCCAAGACTTTAAGTTAGATTCAGGTCTGCTCCATGTATCTTCCTTCTGAGATTGATCACAAACACCAACATGACCTGGACCGTAGCTTTCTCTTAGCAGAGATCCCAAAATTAAGAGGGGCAAGTGAAGACATGCGATATCTCTTAAGCTGTCTTCCTGGAACGGGAGTGTGTCACTTCTGCTCACATTCCCCTGGCCAAAGCCAGCTGTGACGAAGCCCACAGGCAGTGGGATAAGGAAGTATACTCCATCAAGGGAAACTGTTGAATTGTGTCCCATCAACTTCACATGCTGAAGTCCTTACGCCTAGTACCTCGTGCTATGACCTTGTTTGGAGACAGAATCTTTACAGAGATAATCAACTTAAAAAGATGTTATCAAAGTAGTCCCTAATCCAACATGACTGGTGTCCTTATAAAAGGAAGTAATTTGGTCATAGAGACAGAAAGGGAAGACCATGTGAAGACTTAAGGAGGAGATGGCCATGTACAAGTCAGAGAGAGAGGCCTGGATTCTTCTCTCACAGCCCACAGGAGGAACCAACCCCCCCAACACCTTGATATCAGACTTCAGCCTGTAAAGCTGTGAAAAATAAATGTATTTTGTTTAGGTCACTCTAGCAAACTAATACAGAAGATTGGTAAGAGAAGGAAAGGAAGGAAGAATTAAGGACAGATAATGCAGTCTATGATGATGTTATTCTGCTAATCATTTTTAGAATTTAATTTCACATACTGGGTCGGGTGTGGTGGCACATGCCTATAATCCCAGCATTTTGGGAGGCCAAAGCATGTGGATCACCTGAGGTCATGAGTTCAAGACCAACCTGACCAACATGGAGAAACCCCATCTCTACTAATAATACAAAGTTAGCCGGGTGTGGTGGCGCGTGCCTCTAATCCCAGCTACTTGGGAGGCTGAGGCAGGAGAATTGCTTCAACCTGGGAGGAGGAGGTTGTGGTGAGCCAAGATCGCGCCATTGCACTTCAGTCTGGGCAACAAGAGCAAAACTCTATCTCAAAAATAAATAAATAAATACATTTAACATAGTAAAGAATTCATTGAAAGTTCTTTTCTCATTAATAATACATCTATAACAACAATCACAACAGCAACAATTAATCAAATAAAACTCAAGCACTACTATATGCCAGGTGTTGTTCTAAGCTCTCTCTATAAATAAATGTATTTAATCCTTAAAACAAAATAGTGTCTACAAAGTAGGAACTATTGTTATGTCCGACTTAAAAGATGAACAAGTCGAGACCTTGTTACTGGTAGTTAGGCATGAGTGGGGCAGGACAGGGCCCCCCCACCCACTAGAAATGTTAGGTGATGGTGGGACTTATCTCATTGCCGCTCTAAAAATGACAATTTGGCAGCACCACTGAGAGGCCATTTCCTGAAGCTCCACACCTGTTAACATCAAAATGTTAATTGAATGCAGTCGCCAGGGAGAAGCAGCTTCCTGGGCATGCGTGTTAAGAGACAAAAACGGTCACCTGTGATCTTTCGGAGGCACACGCCACCAGAAAAGGGAAGAAAGCTTCAGATGGGCACGTGGATAATTCCCTACACCTGCAGGTGCTCAATTCCCAAGGGTAAGGAAAGCACCGGGCATGCGGAAAGTCCACGCTGAGAGAAGGATCATGGGAAAGAGGTGAGCCTAAAAGCAAGGTTAAAGGCCCTTTTTTTTTTTTTTTTTTTTTTTTTTTTTTTTTTTTTTTTTTTTTTTTTTTTTTTTTTTTTTTTTTTTTTTTTTTTTTTTTTTTCCTGTCTTCTTTTGCTCTCTTTTCTCTCTTCGAACTTCAGGTGCCTACTTTGGTCTCTTTCAAGCAAATTTTCCTTTCTTTCCTGTTCTAAAGCCTTTTTAGTGAACTTTCACTCCTGCTCTGAAGCTTGCCTGGGTCTCTTTTTCTGCTTTATGCTCCTCAGCCGAATTCTTTCTTTGGAGTAGGCAAGGACTGAAGTTGCTGTGGATGCATATGGATTCACTGCTGGTCATGTGGGGTAACTCAGATCTCTTTCACCAGTAACAGCCCAGAGAAGCTAAGCCACTTGCCAAAGCTCACACAGCACAGTGGCAGAGCAGGGATATATCCCAAAAGAGTTCTATTTGCAGAGCCTGAGCCCCTAATCATTATGCTATACACCATCTCTCATAGTCAATACTGTATTTTCTCCGATACATTTGAATGATTGTCCACATCAGGCAGACAAGTTTTATTTCTTATAGGCTGCAATCTTACGTGATCTGGGCCCTGCAGACCTCCTTGGCCTCATCTCAAATCACTCTGTTCTTCACTTCAGGCACATTGATCTTTTTCTTAAACATGTCAAGCCTGTCCCTGCCTTTGCTTAAAGCCTTTGCATTTGCTGTTCCTTCTTCCTGGAATGCCGTTCCCCCAGATCTTTGCTGGATGCATTGTTTTTTTTTAGGCGGATTTTTGCTCTCATTGCCCAGGCTGGAGTGCAATGTTGCAATCTTGGCTCACCACAACCTCCGCCTCCTGGGTTCAAGCAATTCTCCTGCCTTAGCCCCTCTGAGTAGCTGGGATTACAGGTGAGTGCCACCATGCCAGGCTAATTTTGTATTTTAATAGAGACGGGGTTTCTCCATGTTGATCAGGCTGGTCTCGAACTCCCAACAGGTGATCCGCCCACCTCAGCCTCCCAAGGGGCTGGGATTACAGGCGTGAGCCACCGCACATCTTTTTGTTGTTCAAGTCTCAGTTTAAATGGGGTTATTCCCTAGAGAGGTCTTTTCCAACCACCTGTCAAAGCAGCTAACCCCACCCTAGTGACTCTTTATCTTATCTCGTTGTTTCCTTTTTTTGTATGGCTGTTATCAATATCTGGAATTACCTTTAAAAATTTACTGTTTACTTGTTCATTTTCTGTCTTGTTCATGACTGTAGTCTCAGTACATAGAGTGGTTGATGGCAGAGAATAAGTATGTGTTGAGTAAATGGATAAACTTCTCACTCTTTCATGACATTAAGTGAACTTTCCAGAAGTACCCAGTCTCAAGTCTCCCTCTGTCTTCCAGACAGTACAAGGAAATCTGGAGACATATAATCCACACAGAGGCAGAAAGATGCTACTGAAGCCAAATTTATGTCCAATAAGACACAGACTTTGAGTTTTAGTCATCATGGTTGAAGGCAAGTGGGGTCATCCATTCTAGGAAAGAAGAAAGAGCAGATGGGAAATAGTCATACAATATGCATGGAGAACAGATAGAGTCGAACTTCCATAACTTTGGCTTCACAGTGATTATTTACTGTATTGGATGAGGTTGGACAAATCTGAGCCTGTCCAGAGAAGATGCTACTTGAGTTATCTGTGTTTGGATTAGATGTGGGCAGCCAAACCGTCTGGAGAGGTTTAGGGCTCAGCACCAAAGCTCTGATCTTTCCTCGGCTGCAAGCGCCTCATTGCCCTGCCACCTCTGCTTCATGGGCTGGAGGTCTGTCCTCTTGCAATCATGTGGGAAGAACTGGACACTGGGTCAGTTTCTATTTTTTTTTTTAATTTTTTTATGAAACCATCCAGGGTAATGAGCTGGAGGATAAATAACCATGCTTCTGAAGTGCAGCTTTGACTGCAGTCCAGTGTCTGGGCTGACTCGGAAACATCTCAGATTGTGTGTCCTGAGACTGTGCTGGCTGACGTCCTGGCCACAAGCATTCCCTCCCACATGCCAGGCATCTGAGCAAAGCTGCTTCCTGTATGGGGAGGTAGAGGATTTGATGGGTTAGTTGAAACTAAAACGTCTGCAACCCTAGATCCTGCCTCTGTTTTGGAGTGACTTATTAGACAGGAAGAACACTAGTAATTTATATATACAGGGCACCTTTCCTCAAAGAACTCAAGATTCTTGGCAGAATTTGATAAATCTTGAGGTTCAATCTTGATGGAAGACTAGAGATTGAAAAGTAGAAGATAATCTATTAACTTTATGCAGAGAACAAATGTATCCACTTTTTTTTTCTTTAAGTTCTGGGATATGTGTGCAGGTTTGTCACGTAGCTAAACATGTGTCATGGTGGTTTGCTGCACCTATCAACCCATCACCTAGGTATTAAGCCTGGCATGCATTAGCTATTTTTCCCGAATTGCATTCACTTTTTGAGATGGCCAGGACCAGGCATGGGGAAGGGAAAGTGAGAGTTTTGGACCCCTATCTTTGTCAGTGTGAAAGGCTCCCCTCTGGTAGAAGGCGCTTAGGAATCACTGACTGTTCCCCCAGCCTAGAGAAATTCACTCAAGATTTCTTAAGTCCAAGAAAAATTTTTTTGGATCAGGGTGAAATTTCTCATTCTGTAAGGAATGCTGTTGACATTAGCAGGCACTCATCTCTCTGTACCTACACTCATTTTTAAATTTTTAATGAAATTTTATGTGCTTAAAACTTTTTATTGAACTATACACACAGAAAACTGCACATATTCCAACTGAGCAGGTTGATGAGTTTTCACAAACTAAACACACATAATTGGCATCAGACCAAGAAACAGAATATTGTCACATCTCAGAAGTCCGGCTTATCCCTGCTTTCACTCACTGTCCCCAATACTAACTACTATCCTGACATCTAACAGCATGGATTAATTTCACCTATTTTTACATTGGCTTCTTTCGTTCAATATTTTACTTGTGAGATTCATCCATGTTTCTGTATATAGCAGTAATTTACTCATTCTCACTGTTACAGAGTATTCCATTGTGTGAATATACCACAGTTTGTTTATCCATCCTACTATTGATGGACAGTTGGGTTGTTTCCAGTTTGAGACTGTTACAATCATAGTTCTGTAAATATCCAATTACGTGTTCTTCGTCCATATATGGAATATATGAGGAGTAGTATTGTTTGGTCATATGATAAATGCGTGTTTAATTTTACAGGAAATTGCCAAACTGTTTTCCAAAGCAGTTGTACCATTTTGTATTCCCACCAGCAGTGCATCACTAACACTTGATATTGTCTGTGTTTTCATTTTAGCAATTATTGTGGATACCGAGTGGAAACTAGACTCATTGTTTTTTACTCTACCTGTCCTTTATTCTTACTTCTATCTGTCTCTATTTTTCTGTAAACTGTCCTTCTCTGCTTTCCATTCCATCTGGAGGAAACCATGGTTTCATCCCACTTCCTAATAGTTTGCATCATTAGTCCAGCTTAGACCAGCTCAGTCAGAAATAGACATTTCTTAGCATCAATTCCAAAATGAGTGAAAGGAAATCTGATCCACTTGGATTACGTTAAGAGCGGATTGTGGACCCCTCAACTCCCCGCAACCATATATTGAAGGCTTAACTTCCAAGGTGACGTTTTTAAAGATGGGTCCTTTAGGATAGATGGGGTTGGTATCCTTATAGTAAGAGGAGGAGACACCCGAGAGCTCTTCCTCCACACACATAGAGGAAAGCAATGTGAGGACATGGCAAGAAGGTGTCAGTCAACAAGCCAGGAAAGGAGGTCTTACCAAAACTAATTATGATGGCATCTTGATCTTGGACTTCTAATATCCAGAACTGTGAGAAAATAAATTTCTGTTGTTTAAGCTGCCCAACCTGTGGTATTTTGCCGTGACAACCAGAGCAGATTCATACAGGTCAGGTGGTTGCACATGAGCCAGTCAGTTGCAGTGAGGCTGGGTCAAGGTCTCCAAATATGACTCCTGGGAGAGCACACTGGGACCGAGTAGATGGCTGGTTCCTTAAGCAGGGGCCAGGAAGATATCCCAATAATCATCTTTTATACAAACCTTTAAAAGAGACTACCTCACTAAATGGCCCATGAGCTAATTGGGGGATCTCAGTAATCAAAGGGACATTTTACTCAGTCATTTAACAAGTATTTATGAGACTTCACTGTGTGTTAGGCACTGTACTCAGTGCTCAAGATACTGCAATGACTGAGTCTGAAAAGCCTTTGCCCTCAAGGAACACAGGGTGGCTGATGAGTAGATGTCTGATATTTCAAAGTCATTCATGTCAAGATAAATGTATTCTGCCTCCTGGTCATACTGCTATTAATTTTATTTATTATTAGGCTTCCATTTGATGATAAATAATGAACCTCAACTGAAATCTTAACCACTGCTCAATTTCCTGCTGAATTAGCAAATCTGTTCCTTTCAACTACTAATAATAACGTTTAGGACTTCTGTAAGGTGTTACTACATGGCAAGCATTTTTCTGATTGCTTTATATATACTGACTCATTTAATTTTCATAAAAGCCTAATATAGTAAGTACTTTTATTATTATCTCCATTTTATAGCTGTGAACTTCAAATGTGCCTTTATTGTTACTGCCAATCACACTATATTTTCTAATCCACACTGTATTTTCTAATTCATTTACTTTCCTACCCAGTGACTTCACATCCTTTTCTGTCCCTTCAAACCTTCAGTTCCACCCCGTTATGTCCTAATCCTTAGCTGATGACCTTGTTTCCAATTTCACAGTCCAAGAAGAGCTTCCACAAACTCCCACAGCTACATCTATCTACCCACCTGCCAGCATCTGCCTTCCTGCCCTAATAATGAGATAAATTATCTGTGCTCCTGTGGAAAGAAATCTCTCCATCCATATAGAAATTCCCAGTCATTTTCTTCTACTCAAGAACCTTATCCCTACCATTTGTCACTTTCTCCTTGGTATCATTAGCTTTTCACTAGCTTATGGATCATTCCCATTTATAAAAATATGCTGTATTAATCTGTTCTCATGCTGCTATGAAGAAATACCTGAGACTGGGTAATTTATAAAGAAAAGACATTTAATTGACTCACAGTTCCACATGTCTGGGGAGGCCTTAGGAAACTTACAATCATGGCGGAAGGCACCTCTTCACATGGCGGCAGGAGAGAGAAAGAGTGCTGAGTAAAGGGAGAAGCCTCTTACAAAGCCGTCAGATCTCATGAGAGCTCACTCACTATCACAAGAATGGCATGGGGAAACCATTTCCGTGATTCAATTATCTCTACCTGGTACCACCCTTGACACATGAGAATATTATAACTCGAAGTGAGATTTGGGTGGGGACACAGAGCCAAACCACATCATATGCTGTGTTCTTCCATATTAAAAAAAAAAAGTCCTTCAACTATATTTTCTTTGCTTCTCTTTGCAGCAGAATTTGAAAGATTTTTCTAAACTCACAGTAGCAAACTCCTCTGCTCCCATTCTTTCTCGTGATCACTCTAAACAGGATGTTGCCCCTACCACTAATCTAAAAGTGTGCTTGTTCTCCATGTTGCTAAATACAATCCTTGGTTCTCCATCCTCAATGAGACTTGACCCATTGGCAGCATTGGCATAGCTGGTAATTCCTTCCACCCTCTTGATACCATTTCTCTATGTGGATTCCAGGCCCTACCACTCTTCTGGTTTCTTCCCATCTCTCTGCTTGCTCTTTTTCACATTCCCATGCTCGTTCTGCCTCTTCTCTGTCACCTTTGAACATGGAGCGCCTTAGGGCTC